TTGCAAACGTCATCGCACCGTAAGAGCGGATATTGGGCATTCTGCAAACATGTCCATTTTCTGAAAAATGTTCCGTGTCGTGGTTTTATGGATTTCAGGGGTAACCTTTCAATATGTCTGTCATCTCGAGCGTTAATCATGAGAGTGAGCGGAGATCCTGTATGCCATTCAGTATTACCCTCACCAACCCCTTGATTCCATATTCGCATGACAGTGACTGGATTTTGACCAGTGCGAAGGGAGATTTAACGGAACGATAATCCACACTTTCGATAGGCAACGGTACTGCATCTATCGAATTCCGACACTTGCTGATAAGCATTTCTTCTTATTATATTCGAGACATAACGTGATATTCTGAGCAAACTCTGACCTTACAAAGCGCACTGCAAAACCTGTTTTATATGCAGTGCTTCAGATATAATTTCTCCCTCCTTCAGAAGATATGAAGAACTTTTACGAATCTGAATATCCAAAATTTTACAAATTCCCCAAATAAATGAGTTCTTTAGCTACCACTTTTTAAATAAATAATTATTTAATTAATACCCTTTCTTCCTTCTCTAGGTTAGGTAAGTTTTTTTCAAGCGCTCACTGTCCAAACTTCCGATTAATATATTTAAGCAGGAGGTACCTTCGGGCGCTTTCTGGATATACTAAAATTTAGCTCTTGCCATCACCGTGGTATGAGTCAGGAATTGGCAAACTCCTAACCGCGGATAGAATTTTAATACGCGTGTACGAGGGGAATATAAAGAATATTTATTATACATCCTTTTTCATTTTGCTAAAATATTATTTTTGTTCTTCCATTTTAACAAAGGACTGATGATTTTTACTTTCTCTATTTTTGTTCTACAAAACGTAAATCTACGGAAATAACAAATACAGACAGCTTTGAATTGGTAAAGTGTTAAAAGCGGAAGTTCTTTGTTAGTTATAGCCGTGATTTTCACCAACAAGCATTATCTCTTTCTCGGGGAGCAGACATGCGGAATCCAATATAGGTGAATGTGACCTCACATGTGGCAGTTTGCGCGTTTAGGGCTCCAGCAAGGGGCTTTTTCTTTTGGCGCGAGTTCTATTATTATTGATTGCATATGGAAAGATTGTGGACATTTACCATCGTTGTGAACAGAGGTGAAATTATTAACAGAATAGCGTAGCATGTGCTTGTTTGGGTTATTCGTACGATATTTTAACCCCAAAATGGCTGCTAAAAACGTAAAGTTGATTCAGAGTGCCGTGCTTTTAATGCTAAATGGTCCTGGAAATATATTTTACAGTTGTAAAAGATAAACCAGTGTGTCTCATCTACAAATAAGTCATTTCACATCGAAGCATAAAAATTCCAATCACTAAACAATGTCCGAATATTAAAGTAAACAAAATGCAGAATTTCTTTGTAAGAAATTACCAGGCCGACAAAAAATTTCAAGTAAGTAAACAGTATCCAAGAAGCAGCTACGCATGCAAGTTACATTGTAGTATACAATATTGCTAAAGAGAATAAATCTCTCAGTGATGGGGAGTTCTTTAAGCAATGCATGCTCCAAGTTAATGATATTTTACATGCAAACAAGAAAAACAATTTTGAGACTGTAAACTTATCTCGAAAAACGGTGACTTCTAGAATCGAAGTCATCCATAAAAATTTGATATCACAATTAGAGTCAAAGATTGGCCACTTTAAAGTTTGCCCCACAGCTACGGATGAAAGCACTGATACAAATGACACTGCTCGATTAGTATTATTTATAAGAGGTGTTGATGAGAATTTTAAAATTACTGAGGAACTGGATTGCATGCGTTTTTTAAAGGGAACTATGACGGGATATGAAAATTTTCGTGAGTTTCAGTAAAGGCTTCTACCTTTGAAAGTGCCTATAACAAATATATGTAATATTATGACCGATGCAGCACCAAATATGACAGGAAAAAAAAATCTGGATTTCTTGGATACTTTAATCTCGGGAACAATGTTGTTTCGTAAGTACATACACTTATAGATACACATATATATGAAATATTCATAAAATATTCCTAATCAACCATTGTTCGATTTATTCACTTCCTTCTATATGCATACAAACATATAAATTAAAACCTGTAAGTATATGTAAGAATTTTGAAATTCGTAACTGTTTCCCTCACTTGATGGCAGCACCAATCAAACCATCTTCGATCATTCGTTCGGTTTTTATTTCTAGCGACGGTCATGACGAAAAGGAATTATTTATCTGACACTGAGATTTAAGAATTAATGAATGAATCTGACAGTGATATCAGCGGAAATAATCCAAATATTTACAAAGAAATTAAATAAATAATAATAATAATAATAATAAAAAAGATTTGCCTTTTACTCAAAATCTTGCGTCAAGCGTCATTGTTGACAAAAAATGTGTGTAAGACATGTGGCTTTGGACTATGTATTGAAGAAGTTTTTTTTATATAAATACCATACGGCAAAATAAGATTTATTTTTTATATCTTAATATTTCATTTAATGGTGCATCATAACACCGAGAAATTTATGTAAAAAATACAAGTATATTTTGTATTTTCTTAAAAAATGTGATTCTATTTATGTAATATTTTTTGTATAAAACATACAATTTTCGATTCAATCTTTTTTTTTCTTTCGTATTTATAAAGTTTAATGCATTTTAAATAATATATGTGAAAACCAATATATTTTAATGAATAGTCGATTTTAGAGGAATCTTTTGCGTGAATTAGGCTTAATATCTAAAATCGTCTGGACACAGCGTCACACCTTACGGTAAGATGGCGCGAGCCCAGGAAAGCACTTTTTTCCCCTCCCTTAGCGAAAGGGCTAAAGCTACACTGTAGCCTAAAAATGACATATTTATCGATTTTTTTTTTTTTTTTACATTTTCCTGCAGCCGATACGATTCGGGATCTTGCCCCCAAATTTTAGATCTAATAACCAATTTGTTTTTAAGATTTGTGAAGTTTTCTGACTATAGTCAGTCACTATATTTGACATTCCTCTCGGGGCATGGTTAGTTTCGGTTTCATTTTAGAACATTTTTTCATTCTTAAATTTCATTAATTATTAATATTTTTTTAATAAAATCGATCCTTGCAGAAAAGTGGTTATTAACTTCAACTTTCACTACTAAAATCATTTCCGTTTGTTTGTATTTTGAGTTTTTGATGTGCTTATAGATACTTAGCTAAAATTGATAAAAAAAATTGTTTCTCAACACCTATATTGATTCTGCGCTTAATTTATGTAACTTAATATCATTTTTACTTTGTTTAAATTAAGTTTTTTCTGTGGAGAAAAGTACCACGTTCAAAACTTTCGCACCTTGCGAAGAGACGCAATATTTCTAAGATATGGAGCACTGCTGAAAATGACAATTCTAAGAACCAGCCTTCAGCTGATATAACTATAAGACTTAAGAAAACAAATGTTTTAAACACGAATGCTAAAGATAAAAATAAATATTTCAGTGATGTTCCAAATTACATTACAGTGGATAATGAATGCTTACATAATTTATTTAGAAATCATTTATGTAATATTTGTCACAGTAGATCTTTAAAACTTTGGTTTGGTCAACGAAATGAGTTTGCGTATAAAATGAATAGTTTTTGTAAAAGGAAATTTTGTTTTCCAGCAATACTGTTCATATGGGTGCTTAGAGACGTTTACGGACTATATGGACACCAAAGGGAAAAGTAGGAACTTGACCCCCGCGGTCTTGGCGACAAACTTGGTGACTTGGAGACAAAAATTGGCATCACGAATCTTCAAGTAAAATCTAGTTTCTTCGAGAATTTTTCAGAATAGAACCGTAACTTTGGAGAACTTTCTATGTGACGTCACATCCAGTCTTTAAGGTACTAAGCCGCTGATCGTCAGTGAGTTTGTCTTTCGGAGTTAAAACGGTTATCTTGCTTGCTTTGCAAACTGCGTGATTTTGTTTAAACTGTGGATTGATGTTTATTTAATGCTGTAAATTTGTGCAAGTTCGATTTTGTTGTCGTCTGTGCTTCATATTTTATTATTATTTAAAGAATAAATTACTATTTTTCTAGTATTCTGCTTGTCGGAATGTTCACCTACAAACACTTCGGACAATTTTCGTAACATTTGGTGTCAGAATTGGGTTTTATCTTTTGTTTATGGTGAAAACAAGATCTCAGGCTACGATGGCTGATAGAGGCAATGCTTACTGGCTCTGCTGGCTGAGATGAAGAAATCTATGGAAGCTGGACAAGAGAGGATTAGGATCGGACAAGAAGAGATAAAGAAAAATATGGAAAAAGGGCAAGATGAGATGAGAGTAGAAGTCGAGACGCAAGTTGAGGGGATAAAAGAGCATGTCAACACATGTATAGGAAAAATTGAAGATGTTCAAAGTGTGAAAAGGGAGATTGACGAAGCAAAGAGTGAAGCCCAAGAGAAGATCAGCGTCCTGGAGAAGAGACTTTGTGATCTTGAGAAAAGACCAATCAATTCTCTTCCAAGTTCAGAAGTCATATATTCTAGACCGACAGTCAAACCCTTGACATTTGACGGGCAGACGTCCTGGTCTCTTTTTAAGACGTAATTTGATGTTGTAAGCTCTTCAAATGGATTGACGGGTCGTGTGAAAGCTTGTCAATTTTTGGCATCTCTCCGAGGGTCTGCAGCAGAAGTTCTTCAAGGAATCCCACCTGGAAATCTGACGGACCTAACGACTATTGAAAGAGCCATGGAATCCCGATTTGGAGACAGTCACCTTACCCAATTTTACAGGACTGAATTGAAGACAAGACGGCAGAAGCCGGGTGAACGCCTGCAAGTATTAGCCGCCGATGTGGAGCGACTAATGAGCCTGGCCTATGCCGAGTGCCCTCTGGACATTTGGCAAAGTTTAGCGGCTTCGTTGATGCCATCAGAGACGAAGTTACGCAACACTCAACGAGTTTGATGGTTGCCAAAGACTTGAAATCGGCTCTGGCATAGAGTATGAAATATTCTGAGGTTAGAGATACGGATTGGCCCGAAAATCATACTCTATCTCTCAGATTTGCAAGGGCCGGTAGAAACGTCGCTTACATTCTCGTTCCTTTGAGATCCTATCTTTATCTCTTATGAAAAACACTCTTCCCCGGTTCCTTGACGGATACCTCAGTTTGCGTTACCACGATCAGGGTCAGAATCTCAATCTACATTTCTGGGACTTTTAAACCGATTCCCTATTGTTCTGTATCGATACAAATTCAGAAATCGATAAGGTCTCGTTTTTGTTACGGATCTCGCTGATCCCTAAGGGTCGACTCACCCACGTTCAACACCTGCTCACATGGAACCCTTCTCCGTCCTCAAGGTTCATATTTGAGTATTTGCTACTACCCCAAGGTCTGCACCGATGGAGGCTTTAGACAGGCTTACTCCTGTGCCTTCGAACTCTCCGTCGCGACGAACTCTTCGTCCTCCTTCTCACTGCCATCCTAAGTCCCTCAGACAAATAAGTGTATCATCCATTTTAGAGCTAATTGCTTCATCAGGTGAGTTATAACACTCTTAGAGAATTCCGACTTCCATGGCCAACATCCTGTTTTCAAGAGCAACCAACACCTAACATAGGATCTCACGAGCGTCTTGCATCAGGCACAGTAACCCAGTGTTTGATTCATTCCGAGGCGCCAGTCCTGCGCACCAAATGAGGCCCTCTGGATACTCTCCTTCGTCATCCTGGTTCACCGAAGCACAAGGAATTTTCAACAGTTGAACATTTGAGAATAGGTTGAGTTGTTTCGGCTCCAGTGTATCTAATCATTCGCTTTAACAGATGAGATTGGACTTCTGGGAGCCAGTTATTCTGAGGGAACCAGCTACAAGACCTCCACTAGAATTACCTCTGACTTCATCCTGTCCGAGCATAGTTTATCTTTCGGAACACAACGTGTGCGCTGATACTTTGCCCCACAACTATACAGTGGATGGGATAGGCCGTCGGTGTGGGATGTCGTTGATTTCCGGTTTAAGGCATAATCGATACCCAATGACTCGTAGACATGTTAGTCTCCTTGGTCCATGTTTCAAGACGAGTCGGGTGGGGAACCTACCTACTCCCCGTGGTGTCAATTCCAGCGCCTGGAATCCTCCACACCACAAACCCAGAGACGAACCCAAATAAATCAGGGTAGAAGCCCCTGAAGGCATCGCTAGCACAAAAAATCGTTGGGTACAACAAGGACCGCACTCGAAGGTCCAAATAAACCGAAGAAGTTATGATTTACTTTCACCACTTCCTCCCCCATCGCGGACATCACTCGAAGGTCTAAATTAACCGGGGAAGATACCGGAAGTCCAACGCCGAGACACAGAATCGTTGGGTCGCTTCATGCAAACTGAACCGCATGTAGCGGTTCAAATGCACCTACCCGAACACCGACTCAAAGTTCCTTCTTGCCAAACCAATATCCGGTAACCCTTCGACGACCATAAGCCAATCCTTCAAAATCGAGGACGCTCCGATTCACCAACATTGCATCCCCCACAACCCACCTTGGCATATATTATTTCTAATTTGTAATCGGACCGCACATGTACGGCCGGCGCAGGCTTTGTTACTGCCTGCAAGATAACAATCTCGGAACTATAAAATCAGATTCCAGCAGCTAGTCACTGCCTGACCCAATCGGACCAACGACATAAACAACTACAGCAAAAGCACCCATATCTCAAGCAGTCCTCGATCACACAAAGCTCCAATGCTCTACTCTTCATGTCAAGAGAGGTGTTCGCTCTGTAGGGAACTCGCGGTCGCTCCCCGCCGAGAGGAGCGGTGAAGTTTATCGTTTGGATTAAAAAAAAGAGCTTTTTTCGTCTACTTTCAGGTACACTTTCCGGTGATATTTGGATTTTTTTTCACACATATAAAATATAATATTTTTTGGTCAGGGAATCATTTTCATACGGAATATATTCCGGACTTCAAAAAGTTCGTGGGCTGAAATTTCTTCAAAATTTTTGCTCAATTTCAATTTTTTTTTAAAAAACCACTTTTATGTTTTTGTTGATAGAGAACATGTTCCCATCTGGGTAACAGTCACCCACATATAAGTTTTCCAAATTTGTTTATTACACGTTACGAATACTTGCATTTCAGTTGCATGCTTACGACAAGCAATCAAATATGTGAAGATGCTCATAAAATTCAGTGCCATAAAAAGCTTTCAAACATCCATGTATCTCAAGTATTCAGAGTACTTAGAAGTTGTGATACATATATTGCACAGAATTGTATAAAACAAATGTAAAAAATATTTACAACACTTTTTTAACAAATCAAGTTTAAACTTTCATATTTGTAATTCGGCGATGCATCTAGAGACCAAAGTAATGATGCGTAGATGGACATCTAATATGCATCCTGGTAAAAAATAAGCAGAGACTCAAAAACTAAAATTATTGAACTCTAATGAAATTAAATTGAAATACATTCATTAAAAGTTCACTAAAATAAATTCTGTCTCCTAAAAAGAGTAAATCGGATTACATTATTTATTTAGTTTCCCTAAATTATTGTGATGTTGTTTGCAAAAGAAACCATAAGAATATAAATTATGTTCTCTAGTAATTTATATATTACAATGTATTTGCATCTGGATAAAGGCTAGCTTTAACTTAAGCATTATTTAATTTGAAAGCGTTAGATTTCGCAAGCGATTTGACATTCATATCAAATTATTCTCGATGGTGATTTATTTATCTTTTTCAAATGCTTCAATAAAATATTTGGATTTACATAAATATGATAGATTAAACCCAAAGCAAACGAAATTTTAAATTTTCATATATTAATAGTAAGGAAAGAAAAATAATTCCAATGAACGGCAACTAGGAAATTTTAAGCAAATACTTTGATACAGTTCAAAACAGTTGTAGTAAATTTATATTGATGATGTCAAACAGAATAAATGAAATTATTATGATAAAAATAGGTAAGAAAGGAATTCATTTTTGTGATGGTAAACGGATGTAAAAAAAATTTCATGTCGGAAGGAAGGTAAAACGGAAGTGAAAATTTTGGGGAATTGGCAATGCGGAACTAAGAAACTATGCTATGAATGGCGAAACGGAAATACAGAATTCAATAAATAAGTGGAAAACGGAAGTGCGAAATTTATTTATTTGAGTGGCACAGCAAAAATAAATAATTTTATGCCAGCAGTGGCAAAACCGAGTACAAAAATTTATTTTAGTGATAGCAAAACGAAAAAGCAAAATTTATTGACACGAGTGGCAATATTCATATAAGAAATTCAATGCCGGATTTCCATACAAGAAGGAAAGAAAAAAATTGTTGCAGCAGAAAACCACAAAATATCGTCTGTGAAATTTGTGAAAATATATAAATTTGTCTTTTGAGTTAAAAATGTTTTTGGAGTTTTGTTTTTATTACAGTACACGGGATAATTTAATTTTTGAGTAGAATTTTTGTTACATTCGTAAAAAAGTAAAATTTAAGCTATACTTTGTTTTATTTTTGTTTAATAAGCTTTAGTCTGCTATACTATTTTTTAACTTTATGTAATAATAGATTCTATGTTGTAATATTTCTACTTAAATATAAATAAGTAAATGATACAAATATGTATATGTATAAAAAATTAAGCGCATATTTTCTTACGAATTAATTCCTCTTATAATGCAAAAATATTCTAATATAAGTTAATAAAGGACAAAAGGTTTGTTAAATAATATTCGGTACATACAAAATAAAATCTAAATCAATGCATGCAATGTGGTTATTCATCAATTAAAATACTTCGAACAATTTTCGAAAATTATTTTTTCGCAGCAGATGCGGAAAATTACTTTTTACTTTTTTTTTTGACACAGGCACAATAAAAACCGGAAAATTCTTAGGCCGATTTGCGTTTTGATCATAAAAAATTGAATAACAATACTATAAAATTGACAGCAAGATTAATATAATTACATTGAAAGAACCTCAGAGGCCCATCTGAATTCTTTCATTTGTATAAAATAATTTAAAATCTTCCCATAAAGTTAAATGTACACAATATGCATTAAAAATTACATATTTAACAAAACATTTATTTTCAGTTATAAAAATATCATTAAAGACTGGATTATACATTTCATATTGTATGAATATCATATATTGTATAAAACTGTAGATTTGATTTCGTGTAAAAAATTACGCATACCAGAGTATCAATAATTGATAGTTTTTAATACTATACATATGGGGATATAATACATTACACTTGTATTATGCCGTTTTCAATATATTTTTTATATGAAAAATTTTGAGCAATATGCCTAAAACATATACGATATGTGTAATCAATTTTGTATCAATATATATAAACCTGCTGTAGGAAAATATTTTCGAGTAATTAGTTTTACACTATGAGTCCTAAAATTCGTATTGAAAATTGAATCTACTCCTTAGGAGAATTATAAACACATAAGCGAAATTTTTATGCATCGTGATGCACATCATATAAATGCTTTTTAAGCTTTTTAATTAATACCTAGTGAGAAATTTAGAATGGGTTTGTAAATATAAAAATAACTTAATAAATAGAATTGAAAATTAAATATAAATTTAAATAGAAAGCTGTTAAGTTTTTGATTCCGTTTGGGTGTGAAAATCGATTGAGAAACGAAAGAACCTAAATCCTACGACCATTGCAGTTCGGAATCGTGTACCATAAACTTTTTTTCTCAACCGGCTTTGACAGGTCTGCTAAAAGATGTCTAGACCTACTAAAACAGGTCTTCTGTTTCGAAGACCTGCTTATCAGATCCTCTACCTGCCGGCTTAAAGAGCTTTTTGGGATGAGTTTTCCCTCCTACACTCTAGCTCCCTTGGAGCCGTTCGATTTAGTTCTTATTGCATTCTCGAGCGGTAAGCACGATCGGAGTCTCGTAGGTTAATGGCTCTATTCGAACCCTGCTCATCGATGGGGAGATTCGGCAGTTGGTGGACAGATGGGTTCGGCGAACATTTGCCTGCTTCCAGTGCGGTCTTCCGGTCTTCGAGTCGGGTAAAAATGCCAGGCATGGCTTCTCCCCTCTTTGGATAACCTTCCGTAACACGCCGTGCTACAGAAAGCTGTATTCATGGGAAAGCAGAGAAGGGAAAACGTCTCTGAATAATTCAGAAAAGCAAATACCAGGTTACTGACGGACCTTTGATTCGCTCTTTTATATGAACTGGTCATTCTGTCAGATTCCATGCTCACTCGACCACTGCGATTGTGTAACATCTGCAGACATCAACCTTGGCAACAAATATTTAAATTCAAAGGGTTAAATATGATATATATATATATATATATTGTGTGTGTGTGTGTCTATGGATTTCCGAATGAGTGAAAAAAGTTAAATAAATTACTTTTTTGTTTGAGTTTTATATATGCGTGGGAAATGTTACTTTTTGCAGGAAAAATGGGTTGAATGGGATTATTTTGCAAATAGGGAAAAAATGGATATTAACGATTTTCTTTTTACTTACGATATATTTTCAAATTTGCGCTGGAAGGTTTATTAGTACAATGTTGATTGGATATCGAAGAAATTTAAATCTATATTGACAAAATTCGTTGCGACAGAAAAATCGATTAAATAAGCAAAATTTTAAAAATGAATCTAGGAAACATAATTCATCAAATAACTGTAGACGAGTAAATAGTGTCAATTATTTAACTGCTCGGAAACTCAGGAAGATTACAGTTAAACAGTCGGTGCTTAAATAGTAAAATCCCCTCGTTATTATGGAGGAAACTGCTGGAGGCAAGAGCATGTATGGAATAAAATGTTCAAACCGCTTTGCTGAAGAAAATCCTAAAATGAAACTTT